AATTTACGATTCAATCTTACTGTAATCTTTAAGATGCCATGATATTTACTAAATTAATATAAGTGTGGTGGTCAGGCATAGAATATATTTCAGCAGAAGATGGATAAGGAAAGAACGGGAATGGAACGCAATTGGTATGAAAATGCATGAATAATGAAATCTAAGACAATGGACTAATACTTGCAAAAGGAACAGTCAAGTTTGAGAAGATGGATTAATGTTTTTCAAATTAACTATTTACTATATGGTTCTCAGATTTTAGTGAGATGCTCTGTAATTTCATGTCTAATACATTCGATTGTCTCCACTCGTGTTTTTGTTCACTACATAAGTACTTTTATACGATTAGCTATTCTCCATCCTATTATATGATTTTGGTAAAGAAAGCTTCATTCCACTGAATAATCTGTATTTTTCCATAAATGGCACAATAAATGTTTTTAGTTGAATTAAATTATGTTAACTGAAATAAATTACATTCAAAGTGCATTTTTAAAACGTACATTATTAGTGAAATGACTCGAATACTTAATTACACATTAAAGAAATAGAACTGAAATCTTGTTCATCACAGATTCAGTCTACGATTTACTGTTGGTTTAATATTTCTCTAACTAATTAACGTAAATCTTTTATTTTAATTTCATGACTTCTACCTTCACAAACATTCTTAATTTTTTTAGTCTTGAATAAGTGGATTCTCTTAAATTGAGTACAGTTAGGATGAAAAATATAATTGCATAATGCTCATCAATTATTAAAAGACTGGGTTTTGTTTCATTTATTTGGGTTTAGAGGGCTGGGTGATATTAATAGCCTTCATATAACTAAATTTTGTCTCAAAGCATAATGCACTGTAGCATCGGTTACTATGTTAAGCTCATATAATTTATTATAACTTCTGAAGAGGCCAATTTATCCATTCTTCTTGAGTCATGTTTTGACCTTGTCAACTATTTACTTATCTACCTTGACTGTTTTTTATATGAGCGTATGTATGGGCACTTCCTATCTTATTCATCACATGTTTGTAACTTATTTTTGTGCGACTACATGTATTGATTCATGCCTAATTAAAGTGAGTAGGTTCACATGCGTTCTCCACTGTGCGTTCCTTTTTTCGCTTCACCCTCTCTTCTTCACTTCATTCGCTGAGATTCTCTGATTATCTGTTCCGATTAACGACTTAATTAATTCCGTTATTCACTAACGCAAGTTAAGGCGATAATTATACATGATTCAATTGAAGTCAGATCCCGAGCCATTAAAGCACAAACCCGTATTTGTCATATCAGTAATATAAAATATTCTCTCTGACCAATAAACGCATTATTATAATTTCATTCCAAAGTTAAAATGCTGTTAAATTTTTAAAATTCACTAAATTTTCAATATAAATCGTATCAGTTCTTTTTTTTAACTTAATAATTCATCTATCTAATTTTGTTTTTCTAAACGTTTTTCTGCATGTATTAACTTAAAGTACATTCCAAACAAATATTAAATAACATTAATAATTATGATAAGAAACTATTCAAGTTCATTTGTATAGTCTTTTGTTTTAACACTTAACAAAAGTCAATTTCTATAAATTATTCCATTCATAACATAAAACAACCAAAATTAATTTGGTTGTTTTATTATTATAAATGTTTAACTTACTATTTATCATGAGGTAGAGAAAAATAACTGAAGGACACTAAATGTAACATTTACTCTTAAAAGTTACATGTATATTATCTTGAAACAACAAGTTACTTAGTAACTAACAATAAATTGTTTATTTATAATTATTACCTTTGCATGTTAATTAACTGTTAACAAAAGTTTTAATAATAACAGTTTAGTTTCAAATTTAAAAGTACCTTGAAATATGAACAATATGTTGAATATCTTTGCATAATTCTTATGAAAATTCTATACTCATTTCAATCATTGTTTAGATTAAAGTGTAAAGGCATCTGATTGGTTGATTTATTATATATTATTATACTTATACATCTGATTATTTAGATCCATTTGACAACATGATATCTACATTTAATAGGAAATGTATTGGGACATTATATTCCAGGCATGTAAGCTGATAAATAAACCAGCATTAAAGGAAACATGTTTGCTTGGTGCGATGCGTGGATTGATCAAAAGACTAATCAGTATGTTAAGTATGACTCAGATTAGATAGTTATACATTTAATGTATATATATATATATATATAATGAATAGCTTAGTAAGATCCTTACTACGAAACTTAAACGTTCTAGACGTGGTCTCATATGACGTTGTTCATACTCATTATAGATAGTAGTCGAATTAGAACGAAAATATTTTAAATACTGTTTCAGCTTTTGAACAATTTTCCAGCTGATTTCATCTTTTTGTGATCATTGGTTTTAATTTATTTATACTTCGAAGTTCAATGATATTACATACTTTCGTATTTTCATGCACATAATGGAATTTTAAATCAGTACTTAGTTTCATATACAGAATTTTTATTTGAAAATTTGCGGATGGTTTTTACTGCATCCATTTTTTCAGTAACGAATTGTTATTGTTGAGAGATAATAATTAATGCTGGTTTCTAGCGGCCGCATCACCTGTAGGATAAGCGTTTTTTGGCAAAACGCAATTGCAATGACTACTGATACAAATTATCTAGTTAATTGATGGACACTTTTAAGGAGATCAAAAAACGACTGAACATCAGTCTGTAGCGTACTATTTTTTAATGCTTTTGGTGAAAATTTATGAAGAAAAATCTTTGAATTCAACAAGTCTCAACGGAATTCTCGACTTAATAAACTATGATGTGTTACCACTACCTTGAAAGATCTATATCTGCATATAAGTTGACTGGTATTCAGTTTGAGCTTTATAGAGTTTATTAGTATAACATTCGAATTTAATACGATGAAATTGAAACGGAGGGCTGAAGTGGCTATTTGAAAATTCTAGGTTTGCGTGACGTTTCGAAATGAGGGGTAAATATCGATACAAATGCCACTGATGATAAATTTTTGTTTTAATTTTTTATGCAATTTGCTTCTAGGTTGATTGACTTATCATTCAATCTCAATTGTAGTTTACATCACCTGATTTTAGTAAGGCAACTACTGACATCCAAGACAAATTGGTTGGGGATTTCACTATATCTTAAGAGCTCCTAACAGTTATATCCGAGTTCAAGGCTATAGTTTATCATAGAACTTTCAGACGCCGTAGAAAGCCCTCAATGTCCTAGCTTCATTTGGTTCACGATACTGCGCAATCATTATATATTGCCACTGGAAATATATATCTTATATTTGATGTGGTTTGACGCTTATGAAAGCATTGTTTATTGGGTCAGGTTGACCATAAGTTCTAGAATCAACAGGTTTTTGTGTGGTAAAAGGACAACAAGTATATCAAGTACCTTATATATGACTGTCACTTCAGCGAACTTTCAAGTAATTTGTTAATGGAATGTTTGAACATTAATTACCCCCTAACGTGAATTTTTATCTAAATTATTTCACTTATGCAACCCGTTAGTGATGATGTCCGAAGAGCAAGAGTTGAGATGATGAAAGTTTTCAAGTTACTGCAGATAGAACTGCTGCAAATATGAGATCTATTATCACTATTTTACCATGAAATGAAAAGCACTCTCATAATGACGTTGCGATTTATTATACTTTATGATCTAGTCTCGCTCTTGAGGCTTAAACAGGTGCTGTACCCAGGTTTTCTGGTGGAAGTTTTCAGTGATCCCATTTAGGTGAGTGAAACTATCAATACTAATACATTTCTTCAATAACGTCATCTCCGTTCTATACGGTTATAGAGGTGACCTGAATACCACGAAAGGGTAGTCCACGTTGAGTCATAACTGTGAGGTTTGACCTCGTCATTAGCTAGATCACACGATTCTCGTCCAACTTCATCAAAGTATATCCATCCGCAAAAATTGATAACACTAGTGATCTGCAATCTACAGTCTTGAATGACTAACAGACAGCAAATACGGTCCACAAGCTTTAGTCAGTGGCCTTCTTACACTTAACTGTAGTTCTAAATTCATTAATAATTGTAATTCAGGAGACTATGTGAATTATTATTTTGAGTAATGCAATTGCATCTGTCGCATTGCTCCGTAAATCGTAGAAATCAGCTATTCTAACTACTGCACTCTTGATAGAATTTATGCCGAATGACCAACAACCCGTCTGTCCCGACAGTCAACTCAAATCTTGCCTTATGCAATCTTATTAGACACGTATTATATGCTTCTCAATATTTTGATATCTTCACAGGGAAACAGTAAGACACATGACTGTGAAACACTTGATATTTTCTTTACGTAAAGAAAAATGGGAAGATTTCTAGGATTTTTTCTTCAATAAGTTCATTCTTCCACATTTTCGTGTTGATTAGGCACTGTTCTATCCCTTTCTGTAACCTATAAGTGAGAAAGTCAAATGTTCAATCACCAACTACTTAACTGAGTCGACAACATTCCGATTTCAATCCGAGACCTGAGTAAAAGACTTTATCGAAGCTTCTATTTAGACCTACCAAGCCTTGATGAAGCTCCGGTTTTATTGAGACCACTATTTTTCAATCACAGTGGATTTCCCTAAAATAGAAAATATGTTATTCCATTACCAATATTCTTCTATGTACAAGAGAGTACAACTTCTTTAGATTTCTCTAAGAATATCGTAAGTTGACCTATCTCCATATATCAACGCTTTGTTCGCCTTCCTAACCTTACAGCAAGTGTGCTCGGATATTTCAGAGCTTGTAGAGACGAACTAACCATAGTATCTGTCCCTAAGTTTAAAGTTTCTTGGTCACGTTTGTCATTCATGCTGGACAGATTTCTTGCGTCTCTGGTCCTTATGAAACCATCTATCTCCAATCGCATCGATTAAATGCTCGTAAAACAACATCTAGCACGCTGGAGGCTAGATTATTTTTTTCTCACCAGAGAGTGTATTGAGGTTCTAAACGCGCTTTTTCGTATACTGCGTTACAATGCAGTCGGTGTTCGCCTCACAAGTCGTATTCTGTAAGTATTTCAAATATTGCGAGTGCTATTCTGTCTTTGTCTTTATTTATTTTGAACGTCACTTGTAGTACACTCTCTCCACTGCTTTGAATCACGAGTTACTACAGCCCTAAGCGATCGCGAAGTTTTTCTGTGACTCAAATCATAACCTATGGCTAATTAAAGAGTGACCTTTAGGTTAACCAAACAAAACTAACTCACAAAATTTCAGTTTTCGTTTAGGATCTCCAAAGTACGAGAAAGTGACGGTCACAGACGATCAGATATCTGATCGTTCATAATAAATCCTTCAAATTCCAACAACTATGAAGTTCCGAAACCCTGGTTAATAAATTTGTCTTATCAAAGTCATGCGCATATGGCAGTCATTCCTACTTGAAAATCAGAGGTCTTAGACCATATAATTTATGTCGTCATTACCATGCCTTCTATTTTTAACGATCTTAGTGTCGTTTGTGTTTTTTATGTATGTGTCAGGTTTGGAATGTTTTTTTCATGAACGCCCAATTATAATTGGGCATTCATATTCCCTTCACACTGCACGAATCAACGATATATGTTAATCCTTATCTTTACTCAGATGTAGGTGATTTCACGTTAAAGTGGTCAAGGGCTCAGAGTAAGTGATAGATGACCTTAGTAGACGTGTGTTTTTCATTTTCAATCGCTAATTATCCTACCTACAGATAACTGAAGGTAGAAGGCCATCAACTTTTATTAACTGACTAGGAGCTCTTAGTTAAGTATACTTTTCTGTGATTGAATTATCCCTAGGAAATACAATATCAATATGATTGGTCCAGGTTCGGAACTGCTTACACTGAACTGTTTTTCACCTTACGTAATACTAGGACTTTTTTCGTCCCATCACTCATATCAGACTATATGGTCATCCCTTTTAACATATTCTGGGCCAGTGGTTTACTTATTTTAAATCCCGTTCTAACCTAAGAGATTCGGCTGATTGTGTGAATTGTTTGTCTGTACATCAGTTATCGGACATTGTCTTCGGACCTTGATGCACTTTGAATTTAGAAACTGGTTAGTGTCATTACTTCCCATTGTCACTCAAGTTAAGCACGGAAACTCTCACCTAGTCGTTGAGTTATATGATGAAATCTTCAATTTAGTTTTCTTAGTCATTGTCGAACTCACAACAGTAAAGCTATCCTGTCGAAACTATCGTTTGTCTCTAACCGTATTTATATAGTCTCTTACATTGTTTAGAAAAGCCTTATCTAATATCTGGAACATTCAGTGATATCGCTAGATCCTTAATAACTACTATCTGACATTTCAGCAAAAAGTTACTAGGTGCATTAATCAGTCCCTTATTTCGTCGTTGGAATGGAGGTGCGTTGTGTTAGCTCACATATCCTTCATTATCAGAAAGAAAGAATAAAAAGTGTAATCGAATTCTTCTCCACTCCATTGGATGAAGAAGAGCTAATCGATGGAGAAAGTAAACCCGATGAACTGTACACCCTCTGTGATGATCCCATGCAAGTACCCATCAAACTCATCGATGAACAACTAAGGTTCGTTAATCTTGCAACAGTTCAGGACCTTTTTGTTGACAATTCAGGATTTCTTGTTGTTGGCGCCATTGGTTTACAGGTAACCAGAGATATTTTGATTTTCTCTCGTGAATTTAGGGTTCAGGTAAATCGTCTGTGTTAAATATTTTGGCGAATTGCATTTCTGACGGTTGTGGAGTTTTTGATGGTCCTTTTAATATTCAAACTCTCAAGGATGTAGTAACTAACAGCCCGTGTACTGCTGGTATTAACTTATATATTACACAAGATCGTGTAATTCTTCTGGATGCCCAAGTAACTTTTCTGTTTAAGTTGAATGTATAGGCTGTGATCTGTATGTGTTTTCGTTATATGTATAAATCTTGATGTTTGATTTAGTCGCTTTTCTTTATTTCGTTTTTAAATTGCTGTTTAGTGACTAACTAATCAAAATATGACGCTAGTACGAACGTAGTGGTCGTTTTCTGTCAAACTAAATATCTCAGTGGTTCAAATATTTGTTAATGCAGGGTTTTTGTACTAAATTGCGCTACTCATATTTCCTCTTGGACACCCATATATTTTCAGTAATTAATGCATTTGCTGTAAAGCTGGGAGTGATTAGTTTATTTATCTGATTTATTCAACGCACAATTAATGGCACATGTGGGTACCAAAAAACAAGTGTGCAGCACCCTGATAAGAGAATTAAACCATGAAGTAATGTATTCTCCTCCTTCCTATGGTAATAAGATAAAATATCAAACTTTTATGATAGATATGTTATAATCTACTCATTATAACTTAAAGATTGTTATTCTTAACTGTATTTCCTTTATAATGTTCTTTTTTGTTAGCCTCTTCTTTCATTTGCACTCACCAACTATCACACTCACTTGGTTGCTACTGGTAATATAACATCTTCGTCCTCGAGTACTCATCCAGGGCTTTCATCTCTTACAGGTCCTGGTAATTGGAACATGGATATTTGGGCTGAAATGGCTTCTATGCAGGTCAGTTAAATTTATATAAATCAACTTAAATATAACTATTGACTCGTAAAACAATTTACTTATCGAAAAGGATTCCTTTTCTAATTAAGTTGGTTTATGCAAATGTTCGATAATTTGAGGTGGAAAAGATCTGTAGCTCAGGTGGATGATTTTGATGGAGTTTTGTTCTCTGAGCTGGATAGTTTGGTCGTTGGGCTCTCATCGTTATTTCTGGACGACATCAGCGCAAACTTCAGGTAGGTGTGAAGTGTTCGAATTTCTCCACATATGACTCACAGCTTGTCCTGTAGACCTCAAAATCGAGCTCCACAACCAAACCATCCAGCTCAGAGAACAAAACTCCACCAAAAGTTTAGCGGTTATCTGTGAATATTTGTTCTTTTGTGCATTTAATTTTCATAGAACGGTTGTTATCTCAAAGTTTTTGTTCGTTAGCAAATTAACCTCTCCATAGAATACTTAAAAGTAGAGGATATTTGAGCAAACAGTTGTTTTAGATAAACTTCTCTTGAATCCCTTCACTTATAAATCCATAAATTTTATTTTACACTGTATGGTCTTTCTTGGCATACATATGAAAACTATGGTTAATTTGTTCTATCTTAAAAGTTGAAAGTAGTATATTTCCCATCAGTTGTGTCTAAATTGCTAAACGGCAATATGAAATAAAATAGATATCATGTCCTAGATATTTTGATGATATTATTGATAGTAATCATGGTAATAATAAGAATGTTATGTAAATTAAGGAATGTGCAGCTAAGAATATGTCATTGAAGGGGATTGGTAAAGACGTATATGAACGGAGCAGTGGGCAAACGTTTATTGTATATGCTGATAATGTCAATCGGATTGCGTATGGGATGAGCCTATTTCGGGTATGACTTATGAGGCTAGATACACAGGAGCAATCAGAGTGTCATTCACAAGCTGTTGTACCCATCATTCATAACTTATCTTTGATTTGCTGCATTATTATAGGGTTGGTTGACGTAACATGTTATTCACTGGCATTAGACTTCATTTTAATAGATCTATCCAGTTGATGTGTTTTATTTATTTATTTATTTTAACACAGATATTGGTACAATGAGGCACCAAATAGATATGCGCCACATAAATCATTCGATTTGTGTGAGGGCTATGATACTGCCCGGGTGCCCAAATCGAAACAGGTGGTTTTCTTAGGGGGCCACACCCCGAGCCTTTGACCTAAAAGTCTGACCCACGAGGCAGTGGAGCATCGTGAGGAGATGCAGTCCCATGGTAGCCGGTGACCAACGATCGGTTCATACGCCATTCGTTCCTTCAGGATACTGGAGCCCATATGCACCATTGGTTTGGAATCCGGTTAAAGCGCCGGACATTCGCTTTTCGTCCTCTCAATTTCGTAAACAACACCCCCGCCATGAGAAGGCAGTGAGCAGGACTTCCCTGGCAAAGACTGTGTACGCGTGGCCGTGTGAGAGCATTTCGAGAGGGAGGGCGGGCCCACCTCGCTCTCGGCCATACCAGGGCATTTGGGGGCAGTTAGAATGTCATTAATCTAATTTCTTTTCTAAATATATTCCTTTGTACGGAAATACCCGGTCTTTCGTAGAGGAGTAAAGTAGACAATACCATGCTGTTATCATGCTTCTCTTTTTATTTGAAACTAATCGGTGGATATGCAATACTATAGGTGTGTAAAAGTTCCCATTGATTGACTGTTTAGTTATACACAAGCAGTGTGTCATATAACCAACGATAATAATATTTAAATGCATTTAATTTTCCATATAAATGCCCGTTTTTCATTTCCGCCAATAAAACTGCGAGCACTTTACGACTAAAAAAAACCGTTATTACATCAGAGGACTGTCTTGAAGTTCGTATCTAAAACGCAGTCGGCCTAAAAAGTGGAAGTTTCTTATTTGTCATCTAAGATTTTACAGACATGAGGATATAATATATGCTCTTAGACATGATACATCATTTAATGAATTAGGTATATTTCTGTTATTGTTTTATGGCTCGTTTTTTTTTCCGCAGTTTTCCGCCACTTTTTCAATTTGTTTGCGTCCTCTTCGCATGTCACGCTTTGATAATATTTCTCTTTGTAATGAATTTCATGTTTATCCACTAATTTGCTGAGTCAGCAAAAATGTCTTGTGAATAGTTACCAGATTTATACATGTCAGCATAATTTAGCCATTTAAGACTAACAAAACTTACTATTTAGTCCATGTATTTTTTACTTTTTCTATATTAAATACTATCTGTATCGATGGGTACTTCTGAAGCGGTTCAACTGAGTAAATAAATCAATAGACAACTTCTAACCACAGAATAATAACATTTACAAAAGATGACTTATCTTAAAATCTTTACCATTTGAAATGGGAATTGGTTTACTAGTTATATATCAATCTTTTCAAACCATTATTTACTTTCTCATTGATGTGTTCAGTATACATGACCAAATCTATAAACCGTCTTATGATACGGTTACTATAATTATTAGCTCAATTCAGCTTGATAAAAATATTATTTAACAATAATGTTAGTTTTGCCATATGATCATTAATTTAATGAGTGTTTCTTATGACAATATGTGTTATACTCGCCCTTATGAAATTTATTCGGTGTATCAACATATTTGTGTATACATTATGTACATGAAACATGTTTCCGCTATATGATTAATTCGTAGTCTTTGACTATCTTATGAGTAAATCAATACGCTACCAAGTCTAAATGACATAATTTTTTTTCGTTTGATGTATTTTTGTTTTAAATTTTAGATTGTCGCCTTTTTAATAAATGTATGCCATGTTGTACTTGTTGTCAGTGATAATTTAACTACTGCTTCAACTCAGTTACACCGGCTTATCGATAGAGCAATAGGTCTTAAACCAACTGTTTTTACACCGAATGCCATGCCAATCCATGCACTACGTGGTCGTCAACATTCTGATATACATAACAAGTCATCAGATAATAATAAGAATTGTACAGATATAAAAAAATTGACAACTAGTGTACAAGGTTTACAAATTTCTAATGTAAATAAAACTAATCCATCTATTATCAACAAAGATAATAAAAGTTTAGAAGTTGAAGATGTTGACATTTTATCTTTGTCTGAACAACAATTTATTGGGAATTATTCTACATCGAATAACATTCTTGGACAATATCTTCATTCTACTGAAGCTGAGTCTAAAGACGTTACAAATGCAATCAATCGACTAATAAGTAAGTTAATGTGTATACATATTTTGTAATTTATTCTTGTTTTCGCAATAATAAACTATGTATTTAAATAAATATTAGTTATTACTGATGTTGACGATTTGATAATTTACTTGTGAAAGTGATTCTCATATCCTGATATAACAAACTTTATAAGTTGAAATCTCTAATTAATTCTAACTAAGAATATATAAATATAGTGGAAATTTAAAACTATTATTTATATTTTGATAAATATTCAGCCAAAAAAAAGAGAATATTTTGTTTTTGTATGTCAACCATACATGTTTAAATCCAGTAATAATTATAATAAAGGACTTTTATTCAATTTTAATAGCTGCTTTTGTTTTAAAAAAAAATATAAATCTATAACTAATCTTACTTAGATCTATTCTGACATCACTATATGATACCATTCGATTTTGTTCACCTATTTAAAATATTTGAATGTTGTATTATATACATTCCTGTTTTAAGTAACATAATATATTACAATGGTTTAAGACATTGTGTTGTTGGGGTCCTAGAGATAGTGCAAAACAGTGGCTAGAGGCGTTATCAGATATGGCTCAGAATAGAAGGCAGTGGCAATCCTGGTGTAACTTTGTTTTACTTTATTAAAAAAGGGCGTAACTTCTTTAGTTGGAAGAATTCTCTGACGCTATAATTTTGCGAATTGAACTGTCTCTACCATTATTATTATTTCACTATCATACAGTCATTTCTGTTCATTGTTGTACTTCTTTTTCCTTACATGAACATTACTTTCTTTATCTCTTCACATTCTCATTATTATTGTGTGGCATATATGTATTTGATGCCACTTTGTAACAATATTTATGTGTTGTCTGAAAACTGAATGATTTTATTTGTTTATAGAAATTTAATTTTAGAGAGAAATTAAAAAAAAACATTCCTGAAAATGTTAACAACTTACATTAAGTTCAATTTTTCAACTTCAATTTATATTTGTTATATATGTTATAAACTGAAACTTTCCTTCCATTAAGGTTATCATTCATCAAAATCAGTCTGGTTTCAAAGATGTTTGCTTGATTTTAATTCTATCAATCATATAAGATCTATCATGGTCTTTCATTCACATCAACTCACTTGCAGCTATATTAATCTACTTCTCCTTGATGTATTTCTTTTTATTGAACAGATTTAACTGATTATTCAGCCTCATTAATTCATGTATATAATCAGGCCCCAGCAGCTGCATTTCTTGACCCGGTTGTGTGTGAAAAATTAGATAGGTATAGGAATAAAATACTACCACTTATGTACCCAGAGTACAGAAGGTTAGTATCACTTGTTACTGTTGGTCCAAGAATTTTATCCGCTCACCTTCAGTCACGAAATCGTGTTCAACCTACAACTGCACGTCAAAACTCTGCACAAAATGATACTCCTACTGAAATAAATCGAAACACTACTGACGTAAAGCTAACTAAAAACAGTTCAGAAAATCGTTTAGTCCCTGACAATTTTATCGCGCAAAATTATTCAGGTTTTCTTGATACTCAGGAAAATTCTGTCTTACCTACTCCATCAGGACTTTCCGAACCGTCCTCAGTTTCATCAGACAAAGGACTTGCATCATCACAAAAGCCTTCGAATATCAGCGCAGAAACGTTGACTTCAGTAGAAGTTGATAATGAGTCAAAACCTAGTAAGTTTATACTTAATGTTCTTTCTGATTAATAGTTTTCGGTTGTTTTTTTTTATTAGACTACACATGTTTCTAGTTTTCTTGCAACCTAAACTTACTGTAGGAGTTTAGTGCAGTTACTTGTCATGGGAATTATAGACGTGATAAAATTTAAATCGAAGGAGTTCATCGAGGGACATCATCTTCTAACATTCCTTCACCACCCTGTGGTTCGGACCTCCAGGTCAAAGACTCGTGGGATGGTCTCCTTAGAAAATTCACCTGCCTCGGTTCGGGTAACCGTGTAGTATCCCGACCGTCAAGAAATTGTGTAATGCATATACATTTTAGTGCCTCTTTGTGCCAATGTTTATGTGTTTAAATAATAATCTTATATTGTGTCTGATAGTCCCTAGGTAAATATTTTTATCTAATACACTCGATGTTGATATCTGTATTTTTTATAGAACAATAGTTTAGGGGCTGAAACATCTAGCTTTGAACAAGTAGATTACAGGTTCACTTTGGGTAATCGACTATTATCTCTAACTTCTACACAAGCAGTGTGATTTAAAGTTGTATACCTGAACCTGTGTTTGTTGAACGAGTTAAATTAGACTTTTCATACAGTGGTTAATAACCACATTTACTTCAAAACAAAGGTGTGATTGTACTCATTTCAAGGAACCAGCACGAACTATTTAATCTAACATTCATTCATGTGGTGAAAAATGTTGTAGAACAAAACAATCGGTAACAGGATTAATTTTAGATAGAAATTACAAAGGGTTTATATATTATGTATACATAGCCTTCGATCATTCATTTGCATCTTGTGGTGTGTTCTGCGGTCTAAACCGTTTTCTCGTCTGATCATTAAGTGTTATTCCTACGTCATGCTTTTGATGTATTGGAACTCCTTTGTCAGTCTGACGATTGTGATAACTTTGACTCCACGTCCCGCTACACATTAATTACATGTAATCTTGAGTGTAGCGTCCACCACATACGATTTTTTAGAGGAATCTTACGCTAGTTCTTAAAAAATGTTTCATTATGATGTGACTGTCTTTTCAAAACTTACCATCAGTATTTAAACTAGGATAACTGTTCAATACAGTCGAACTTCTTATAGCGTTCGATTGATATTGGTCAACATATTAAACTTTCCCAGAAATCTATGTTCTAATTAGTACACATGGAACTAATTCACACAATTTTTTCAAGACTATAATAAAATATAATGATGAGACAAAGTGACCATTAGGGAACAGCGTTGGTAGCTATGGTTTTAAAAAAAAATGTATCCAAACCATCTCAAGAATATTAACTTTAAGAATGACAACTTACATTTTCAATATTTATTCCCCATAGAGAAATAGTCAACTTGGAAGTTGTTGTCCTACTAATATTGTCTTTAATATCAAAACAAATTAGTAACACTAGTTCAACATCAATCAAATTAATAGTAAATCCAGGTTATACAGAATTTTTAATATGGTTTTTCATTCCAAAGTAGGTAGGTGGATTATGGTGGTTTGGTGTTCATGTTTAAACCACCAGTCTGTAGGTTGGAATCCCGCTCCGCCCATTTTGAATTGATCAACCGAGTAGTTGTATTACAAGTTCTAATATCGAGTTTATTTTAAAGTCGAATATACGAGTCGGTACTCAGTAAATAAGATACATTCATAGTAAGTTCACTACCAAATATAGTACGAAAAACTTCTGTACTTTCTAATTTGTCCATGTTCTTGAAATATAGTCTGATTTGTTGAGAGGCGTTGGTAGTAATATAACTTTGTCCGTTTAAAACTAGCAGAGAATGTTATTTAATAGGGAAAATGTGTGTAGTTTCATCTTCGTCTAGAAACACCATTTTTGACAACTTTATTTTCAAATAGTATTAGTCATAGGTTCATCAATTCATTTCACAACTAAAGCATAATTATTTTTACCAAAGATTTAAGTTTTTACTTATAATGTATAACAGATACTGACACCTATACTGCTGCGTGGTAACATGTTCATAGTTTTTCACTAAAAACGCTTCATTTCAATTGGAAAAAAACAAGTACGATTTATGTTTATTATTATTTTACATTATTTTCAAGATCCAACCCACTGTTTAACTTCATTAAATACAATTCAAGAAAAATCAAAACCTTTTTCTGGTGAAAAACCTGATGGGTTAGTTTATCTCAGATTAATTTATGTAATCTTAATCATTTGGGCTTTTTCCCTTATATGCTGAATAAAAAAACATTTTTGCTAGCTGTTTAGTATTCGCTTTGTTTTGTCTAACACTAACAGTATAAAAATAATTCCCACCGTATAGAAGCGATCTTTATTGACATTTTATGACTGATAACATACTACAGTCATGTAATTGATAGATTATGTACTAGACTTTGTAACTTTTACTACATAGTTTTTTCTTCCTAGTCGTCAATTGATGGTTGTTCATCGAGTTACTATTATAATATATCATAAGATCCTTTTTGTTTGAAAATCAACCTTATCCTCACCAAATAACTAAAGAGGATAATTCAAAATAATAGTGGTATGTTCTAGAATTGTATCGAACTTTAATGTCGTCCTTTTTTTTAGATTCTGACCATAAATGCCATTGATTCGTTTTCCCTTTTTTAATATGCTATTTTGTGATGTTTCCCTAAAGACATTTTTATGCTGTATATAGACACTTGAGCTGTGTGCTTGTTGTCGTTCCTGCTTCTGGGTGCTTGTGGAATATATTTTTCCGTTATCTGAACCGAATCTTCTCCCTCTAGTTAGCAGGACTGAGAGAATAAGCTCTCATCGAATCGCTCTCACATAGCCACGTGCATACAACCACTGCCAGGGAAGTCCTACTCACTGTTTTATCGTAGTGGGGTTGTTGTTTACGAAATCGAGGGGACAAAAAGCGAATGTGGGCTCCAGGATCCTAAGGAAGCAAATGGAGTATCAGCCTGTTGTTGGTTGTAGCTCACGAAGAAAACCATCTGCTTTGGGTTGGGCACCTGGACAGTATCCCAGCCTTCACACAAATCGTATGGTTTATGTGGCGCATATCTATTTAGTTCCTCCATGTACCAATGTTTATGTGTTTAAATAAATAAACCTTTTAAACTAATTATCTTGTGTGTAGCTGAAGAGCAAGCAAATATGTACAATGTATTAATTGTATTTCACAAATGTCGCTTTTGCTTTGTTTTTTCCGTATTTTTTCCGCATTTCACAATTTTGTAGGTACATTCCCTTAGATAACAGTAACAATAATAGTAATAATTGTGTTAAAAAATTTGGCTTATCGGAATCAGAGATAGTATCGCAGTGTTGCAATGTTTTGCACAATGTAGAAGATGAACTCAATTCTGTTTTAAAACACACTAACTTATCCGCTGGTGTAGACCATCACAAGAAGATTGTAGAGAAACGATCAGGAATATTACCGGTCGAAGGTCAGCTCCCTGATAATGATTTACTACATATACCTGGTATTAATGGTGAGAAGTTGAACGCCAGTCTTGTTCAAATGTATCATGATGTACAGACTACTAGATGTAACTTTTTCGATGTTCAAAAGCGATTAGATCAACCAAGATTATTCTTGATACCAGAAGTTGACGATGAAGGTTAGTAGTTATGTTAATGTACTAAAAAAATTCATTGTCGAAATGGAAACATGTGCGATGTAATATATATATATATATATATATATATATATATATATATATATATATATGCTATGGGTTTACAAATCCAGACCCGGTTTTACCTTATTCCAATCAAACATTGACGTATGGTTTTAAGCAATCAATTTTAGATGGCTGAATGTCATTTCGAATGCTTCAGTTTGAGCAGCTAGGTAGTATCAGTAGCCGTCATACAAATGGAACTTTAGTTTGCATCCTATGTTTTCTTATACTCATCCTTATGGCATTAGTTCTTAAGCTTTAGGTTATCCATAATGGTTTGCATTATATGATTAAAGAAAATCAATAAAAAGCATTCATTACTGTTAAAGAAGATTTTTTATAAGTTTTCTCTAGTTCAAAATGTCAGTTAACTGAGTGTTAAATGTTTTGCTTAGTTTAATAAATAACCCACGTGATTAGACTCCATCCTAAGTGCTTCCGCTGTGCTTTTTTTGCATTCAGCTTATCTAGATTGCTTTTTAAGAGTTTAGATCGAAATCTTTTGAGTTACTATAACAAATTTCGTTGATATTGCATGTCAGATTTCTTCTGTTTCCGATGTAGTGTATTCGAAATTTTCCAACTAACTAGAAATGCATTTGATAAGCACTCTTATTTTCACGATCATCATAATACGGGTGGTATGTCAAGCAAGCTGTGATTGATTAGCGAATGATGATGGACATCTAGATATGCTAAATGTATGGGACATTATAAATATTGAAATATATTTCTTACTATTAGTCCTACTGTGTGTAGACTCCTTGTATATGTCCTTACAAAACTGGCCTATAATCTGGTTCTTAATTGTTGCCTAGAGTTTCTTATCTACGTGTCACCTAATCTAGTTTTCCCAGTCTGTTATTCAATCTCGTGTCATTGTGTCGTCGTATTCCGTATAGGAGTACAAGTTTATTTTGCCGTCACATTAACATATTAACTAGGAGGTGTATCGCTAATGTATCTAAAAGTCTATTGAGCATATTCTAATATTGAGTATTATGATTTTCAATAGTTGAGATCATGAGTCAGTTGAAGCTAGAGCACCATGAAAAACCTGAAAGCACTGGATGGCTGTTTCGTCTTATCGTGGGACTCCTCAGCGATGTGCATCCACGACCCCGCCTTGCGGGATCCGAACACAGGACCTGCTGGTCTCGCGCTCGAGCATTTAACCAATAGACCACTGAGACGGTACTCAACGGTGTCAATGTCTAACTTCAACTAATCCACGAAGTTGAGCGACATATCCACCATTGTCATTAGTAAGTTACTATTTCACAACTGACCCGGTTGAACTCCACTGGTCACTGCTTCTCACTAGAACTCCAGGATATACATCTTGAAGCCAGTCACTAGTGAACATATGTTGATTATTATCAGTAGGAGGTTTTGTATTATGCACTAAAAGTGAGTAGTGAGATAACTGGGTTACAAATATGTATCCCTATTCTGCGAAATTGTTGCACCTTATAGATTTTCAAGTTCTTATTCAAATTAAATATCATAAATAATTCGTCTACTACTCAAACGCTTGGTGCTAATATCCTATCCTCTTCCTAGGTTCCTCAGATACTCCTAGACTTGAATCCCTTAGGGTATAGAAAAGGGGAGAAGTCAGAATAGAAACTTTACTTCTAGATTAATTTATGTATAGAGAACAAATTTATTTGTGGGTTTACGGGTAGCGTTGATCTATTAGGAACTTCTGGTAATGCATTAAAATTATTAGCGAAACAGGTAATTATGCAATCGAATTTTGACATATCCTTAGTTTTTCCGCAAAGTTTCTATTCAATGTTGATTGGGCGAAATAATTTTAGTCCTTTTCCGGCTTCTGGGGACATGCTCAGTGGATTTTGGACGACTCTTAGCAGTTTATGGAAAATTTTAATAGTAAACGAAGTTTATTTGGTTTTTGTACATAGAAGTCTTTCGCAATCCGAATTTCGACTACATGCACTTCAATCTGTTTCGGATAATGCTAGAAGTCTTTAAAAGAAATAGAATTGATGGTATGTTATCCATTATCGATGTATTGGTTTAGTTTCAAATATCCAGCATTAACGAAATCAACCTAGGTTTTATGTTGTTTAAGTTTAGCTAAATAAGTTATTTTAACTATCGTACAATTTGAGAATGTGCAAATTGGACTTTAAATTTTTTTTTAATTTCTCTATTTGCACACATTCTTAGGACACTCACCATTAGGGTGTCCAACATACTTAACATCAGCCCGTATCTTACAAGAAGCTGTTTTCTCTACACCTCGACAGCATATGATGCCTAATTTTACAGAGAAGAAATGGTATGTTTTGATTTCCTTTACTCCATAAAACACGTATTTTTTATTTAGGATAACATATGTTCATAAAATGTGGGATGCTGTAATACATTCACCTTTGTTCCTCGATTATCATTCCGTTCGGATGAATCAGATCTAAGTGTTGCTACTTTTGAAAGACTGTTTAATACTATATTTTATTACAGTAATTTATCTTTACATGAAATATAATTACACTTTTTCTTGCTGTCTTCTTATTTTGAGTATCTTCCTGGTTGGTCTCAAGTTTCAGTGGTTCACAACGACTGAATCTTTTAGGTTACTTGTAAAAATGAGTACTTTCTTCATCTAAAGTTTTTTTAAAATAACATTTACTTTTGTCATACGCGATTGAGGTGACCTAATAAGCATAACTTGAAATTGTGTAATTTTGGATTCGAATTCTATCATTTCTAGATTCGATTACTAATGAGTTGGTAACTGTGTTGAATCATTTGACTAGAAAGATCAGCTCTGCGCGGAAAACCAGAATCCTAAGCAATGCAAAAGCAGGAAATACAATGAACAGTTTGGATGCGGCTAGATGATTTGGACTTCTCAGATGACCTAGCCCTTCTATCTCATACGCACAAGCAAATGCAGACGAAGACATCTAGTTTAGTGGCAGCCTTTGCGTCAGTATGCCTCAACATCTACAAGAGAAAAACAAGATCCTCAAATACAACACACAGAGAACCAACCCAACCACACTTGATAGAGAAGCTCTGGAACAGGCGGAAACTCACGTGCCTGGTCAGCATCATCGATGAACGAGGTGGATCTGATGCAGACGTAAAGGCAATGATTGGCAAAGCAAGAGCAGCATTTCTACAATTGAAGACAACACGGAATTCAAAATAACTGTCAACCAATATCAAAGTCAGAATCTTTGGTGCAGACATTAACACATTTCCTTTATACGGAGCTGAAACTTGGAAACCTACTACAACCATCATCAAAAAGGTATAGCTATTTATAAGCAACTGTCTACGCAAGATACTCAATTTCAGTCGATCGAATATCATCAGCAACAGCCTACTGTGGGAGAGAACAAACCAGCCGAGGGGAAAATTAGGATAAAATGCTGAAGGTGGACAGGATATACACTATGGAGATCGAAAAATATAAGAATCATCACAATTAAGTTTCGTGAACGTAAAAATTGAATTAGTATAAACAGTGAAGCGTAACTGGGGCGGCCTGTCGTCCCAGACCGATTTTATTCTGGTTATGATACTAAGCACCGCACCTATGTTCACTAGAAAATCCATACTTTAATTCCTCTCTCTAACGTAAAACAAGCGACTTTGTGGACCCCTCAACAGTTGTAATAGCCTATGAAGACCTGTTCGTTTTCCACATTCTTAAAAGTTTATTTAGGTCAGGTGCATAGTGGACTGTATTAAGCTGATTCGACATAAATTTCCAGTGGTACTAACAAGATAGTTTGGACTGTCTTAATTTACTCCGTTTTTTTTATTATCTATTTGCTTTTGGGTCACAGTCTTAAAGATACTTTTGATACCTCCAGCGAGTTTGGTTACGACCGGGTCGTTTGATGGCTCTTCACTGTGTCGTTGGTGGGAGTTTCTGGTCCAGTCAGTGCTTAGGGCTGGCTTAACCATAGTGTTGTCGCCTACTAAACATTAAAGATAACGCAAAAATTGGTGTGGTAACCTGCCACATAATGTTCCTCCTTGAAAAAGTTCTTGGATTCTTCGACGGTTCACCACTTCATGCCTTGTGTTCGTACACGTTTTCTACGTAAAAGGACTCCGTGTCAAGTCAAGAACTTCGTTAACAACTGATAGGAGGTGCACAAATCTCTGTATCTAATTCCTTCTGATCTAATGTTGTGTCCGGTAAATAGTGCTGTATTTGAGCAAATCACAACTCCAAGTAACTTTTGTGAACTCTAAACACCTCACATTTGAATAGAGAATCCTTCCGTTTGATCATTTTAACAGAGTATATTTCGTCACAGAATGCTTAGCATTTCTGTATTGCACTAGAAATACGTCTACCCCCTCCAGGTCATTAAATCTGGAAGCAGCAACGGAATGATTAGCAAACTAATGTCCTGAAGAAACTTCTTCCCTAACCATTAGAACAAGGGTGTCTGGGAGCAGTGAACAGATACTTAAATCCTATACCATTCAACTAGACAGTGACTGCATCTGCAGTAAAATGAAAGCCATTATCAGTCACTAGTACCATATGGACATCCGACTAAAAACTTCTTTAATCCTTGGATTGTTCAGTCAGAATTTGGTGAAGATGAGGAAAATCTCCAGGCCACTTGGGAAAATAATCAATGACTACAAGTGCGTAGTATTTGCCAAAAAATGAACCGCAGTAGGCCACGTAAATTCTCTACCAGGCCTCAGAGGATACTGCCCATGGAGTCAAATTCAAAAGGTGATTTTTTGGCGTATGACATCTTCGGCAATTGTTTCCTATACGACATGTATCTACATTTATTTCCGACCACCAACATGTGAGCCTCTTCAAGGATTCCATCTTAACACCTGAACGTCCACTGTGAACATTTCCAAGGACAGATTCACGTTACAAAGGACGTATAACAGCACGATCGTTTAAACAGAAACTGTCATCGGGAGTAGTGGAGAATTCATCCCGCTTGGAAAACTAGTCAGGAAATCTACTTATCAGATCAGCATCCTATCCTTTTGCATAGCACTGAGTATACATCCGTAGTCTAGACGAGGTTCTCTAACGAGATCTAGATGACTCACCGGTTGAGGTCGCAGTAATAAACAGTCTGCAGTATTAACAAGATACATGATAAACCTAAAGAGCAAACGTGCAGTCGATTACAGAAATTCGGATTCCCATCTAAGCCGCAGCGCCTTTAGTGTTTATACTAACTAAAGATTCCTTCGCACTTAATTGCGCACTTATTACGAACTCCAAATATAATGTGTTCACTTGTCCTCATGCGGTTCTACAAGCCGTGAATTGAACTATTCAAGTAATTTTTGGTTTGCACGTCAACCCGAATGCTTCTAATTATCATACACAGTTAAATTCCACTTAGTCTTTAGATTTATTGCGATTACTAATGGTCGGATTAAAATCTGTTGACAAGTCTGGTCCACATTTTTCAGTATCAAAACTTAATTTTGTGTTTTCTTGAAGCTTTTCAGGTCAGTAACAATTCTTTTCACGAAAGTAGGAAGTACTCGCTATGGAGTACTTCATGAAAACGACCTATCTCTAGATCTTGAAAGACAGCTGACCCTGATTATTGCTGGTACCATAATAAGTATGGAAAATCCCGAAATTGCAGGAAACACTGCAGTTTCTTTACCCCCAAAACATCCGACACGAAAAATGTTTCGGAAATGGTTTCTTCAGGAATGCCATAATGCACTATTTTCGTTGATGTTAGCATAATATTCACCATAATAAAAAAGACGGGTTCTGTGCACTTAAGAAGAATATTGAAGAAATGGAGAAAATAAGGGAACAGAAATGAAGGAAACGCGAAATATGTTAATAGTTTAGTGAATGTGTTCATGAACACAAAACAAGTATAGACGACTATGTATTTATCGCCGAATGAATAACAAAAGGGGAAGTGACTATATAAATAAGATTATTATTGAAGCAAGATTTGACGGTAGAATAAGTGTTTGTGCAGTGCTATGAAAGTATCAACTAGTTTCAAAAGATAATCAAATATCAATGTGTATGAGTCATATACGCAGTGACGATAAAATGAATCTGAGAAGTTAATTCATTTAAGCGTAACTTAAGATATTCTATTTTCAGTCATCAACTTTAGATGTTTAGGAATAAAATATGTCTAAGAGGAAAAAAAAGGTTGACAAGACTATCTAATGTGTCAAGGGACTAATATTAATGATAATAAGAATAGTTATAAATATGAACATAAGCAGACTTCAGATATTAAGATGAGTAAAAGAGATCAAAGTAGATGAGAAAAGTTTCAAATGTCCTACTTTACTTCAAAATCAACTAGATAGATGACGGACCTTGTCTGTACAAGTCATTAAGATACTTTTATATGTCGCAGTAAAATGATTAGTAATAGCCGTTTGTTAATAGCTTAACTTATGTGTAGTGCAAGTATTTTGTGTTTAGAAATATAAAAACAATCAGTATTGTAGAAATGTTGATGTTGGTATTATTTTTGGTTTAAATTATAAAGTCGGTTAACATTTATGTATGTGAGCTGTCTGTATGAGTTGATTCCCAATGGCATCCGGATTAGTAGGCTTACTGAAAGCAAAAACATAACCATGGGACGAAATTCCAACTAGTGTTACAGTGAGTTTTTAAGTTTCATACGGTTTATTTAATTACGTGGAGATTTTCTCAACTCCATTAATACGTAACCGCGATAGAATTTAGCGATACTACTAACACACATGAATGGTTATCCGAAATTCTTTTACGTCAAAATTTTGGACAAATAGCTAAGAGCAGTTCATTAAACATGAGTGTATTCGTGAGAAATATGCTCTATATTCAATGTTCCGATTTGCAATTTACTGACTGTTTATATTCATACCTACCGGCTGATGGTGCTTACATTGATATACAATAGGTGAACCAATCGACTCTCGGAAAGAAAATTATCAAGGAGACTTCTAAACGGTGTTATCGTTTTGCTGCAACGGAGGTTCCGTGAGAGTGTTTCGCATAGTTGAGTAGCGAATAAAGAAAAGATTCCGACGTACATCTGTGTACGTTCTAGGGCAATCTTCCTTATTGCGTAGGTTCTGAAATGATACCATAGAATGCTAACGGGTAGATGCCGAAAATTAAAAGATACCGTTTATAAGCCGGCAGATAAAGATAGGATTTAATTTGATGCGCCTGATCCAGAGAAGTTCTAACTTGTCTTGTTGACACTTCTTGTGGTATTCTTTGTGGTTGGAACACCCCAAAATAGCTTTAGTGAATCTCTTTTGAACACCTCCCATTTTCATCAAGTCATCATTTCTGCAATTATTGTAAACTAGGATGCCGTATTCAATAAAGAGGCATTTTGTACATGGTAATAATATCTATTCGACGTTATTGAAAATTATCATTATGAATGCAATGAGCTTTCCTGATCTGGATACTTGAGATTCAGTCTACTCGGAAATGTTCAAACTGTTTTTATACCTCAAACTCAGGTCATAAAAGTGTTGAGAGGTCTCAGTTTGTG